ATGATAGCTGTTCTCCTTTTATGAATTTCTTGGAGGCTTCATTGCTGGAACAAACAGCAATGTGAGCTGCGTGAACCTCTGGGGTGAACAGGTGTAGCCATTTATAAGGCTCCTTTTGGAAGCTTCATACTCTGGTGCCAGAGGCATCGGCCATAAGAAGATAAGCCGTGCTAATCAAATGCTTTCTTAACTATTTCAGATAAGAAGCAGCATAATCCAAATCTTGGCGTGGTGTCTTAGCTTTTCAAAAGAGGTAAGCTTGCAGCTCCCAAGTAGGTAGGTTCCAGCTGAAATGGCTTCTTCAGGGCAAGCAAAGGTAAGGCAAAGTTTTGCTTGATGAAGTAATTTAAAAGAGCATTTCTTATTGCTGACTGACTGAGCTCAAGTTTCTCTCGTGTATGTGCTTGTTTTGTGTAGTTTACGTGTCAGTATTTCCAGTTAGTTTCTCTGTGGTAACAAGCCCACAAGAGTTGATTGCTGCAGGGGAGAGAAAATCATTCTGAATAGGTTTGCTGAATAATTATGAACCAAGCTGAACTCTTGCGTTTCCTTGTTAATTGTGTAGGGTTTGTGATGTTTTATGTATGATGCATTCATTTGGTTTTAAAGGACGTGTATTTTGCTGTGAAGCAACTTTTCTCAGCAAGTTGAATCAGCCTGTCTTTGTAAGCTGCCTTTCAACAGCAGCCCGCTCCTCAGATTGCAGAAATCCCCTTTCAGGCCCCACATTAACCCACTGGTTATGGCAGCAATAATTCCATTCTATTATTTTCTGTGACAAAGCAGGATGCACATCCTTTTGAATGAGCACAATGGACCATCTTTGGATGTCTGGTTGACTATATCTTTGTTATATACGTCTGGAAGTTAGTGAATATAACTTACACATTTCAGTTCAGGGAATATATTTCCAGATAAGTGCGCATAAGATCATAGGCTGGCACCCTGATGCAAAATATTAATACTGGCACAATAATCCTGTGATTCTGTTCTGTACACAGTCCTGGAATTGTAGGGTCAATAGAATTGTAGTAGTCATCCCAAGGGTCATCTAGCTCATTGGACTGCCAATGCAGGAAATAATATTGTTCACTGTATAACTTGCTTATGTACTGCAACACTGGCAGGCTGTGGATAGCAGGTTTGGGCTGAACTTAGAGCACTTGTATAAGAGCTGTGGATGATGTCTGTTGTTCTGAACAGGCTATAAGAACCATCTGGCCAAGGCCAGAAACCATGTTGTCCTGGTTTCCCCCCCCCCCCCGACTGTTGGTACCAAGATACTTCTAGTAACCCTGTAAACAGGTGATGATGAAGAGAATTGTCCTCCTTAGCACCTGGTATTCAAAATCTAGGTTTCACTTAGGTATCCTTATCATTAACTATTAAGAGCATATTTGTTGTCCATTAAGCTGCCCAAGGTTGCAACCATGTGCCTATGTAAGTAAGAAGAAATTCCATGCAACTTAATAGAATTTACCTGCTTGCATTGTGAACCTCTTTACTGGTATCTAACCTAGCAGCCACTATCGTCTCATCGTATGACAACAAAGACCGCATAAATTACGAATGGGAGAGGTACGATCCTCTGGATAATGCTAGACCAGAACTTCCATCAGCCCTAGCCAGCATAGCATGTTGAAGGATTATGAAAATTGCAGTCCAGTAACATCTGGAATACCACTGTCTGCAGCTGAGGCGGGGCAGCAAAGTGAACACTGTGCTAAGATATTTGAGGAAATGTTTGGATTATATGCTTTATAAGGAAAGTCCATAGAAAGAGAAGGAGGGCAAATCAGGGCCACAACGGAGAGGACAGAGATAGGAATGAACAAGTTCACATGTTTCCAAAGCTAGTTTCTTTTTGTAGTCTGCTACGAAACTATGTGCATTTTACTCAGTCAGTATTTTTCTTTGTGGTTTTAAGTCAAGCAGCTCAACATCCTTATGCTATCCTGACCTGCCCAATCGTTTTTATTTCCAAAGGTGAATGCCTCCCCATTTCCAAATTCAAAAGCCAACCAGGCTGGCAATTCAGTCTTATATTATCACTAGCAAAGCATCCTCCACTGCATTTAGAGGCAGGAAGCTAGCTCCAGGGTGGGTAGGTGGGGGCAACCCACTCTTTGCCCCACAATCCGTGCTGCTAGAGAAAGCTGCTTCGCTGCCTAATCAAAAGGCTGGCCTGATTTGCTGTTGTGTCGATGTCCTTTCTGCCTTGCTCTTATCACATCTTTAAAACTTTACACAGATCTTTATTTGAATGCTTCTTGGTAATTTCCCTTCCTCCCTGTAATCGATTGAACTCATCTGGGAGGACAGTGAGCAAATGTTAATCTCACCTTCCAATAAAACCTAAGATTCTTTAAGAGCTTTTTTTTTAAAGCCCAAAACAAATGGCTTTACAGCAACCTCTCCCAGTGCCAGAGGTTAAATGTCTCAGGGTGGAAGAAGATGCTTCCCAGTAGAAAGGGGGCTGCCTATTGAATACTCCCCTCCAAGAGCTGGGCACCCAGTTCATTCATGACAATGTTATTCTCTGCCCAGTCTAGTAAGTATCTAGTGTCTTGATGTGCAACTGGCTCCTACTGGATTAAAAATCCCAGTTGGGTGATGAGGTGCCACAGCAAACCAAGTGCCTTCAATGTACTGATTTTGCCTTGAGGCAAAGTAAATTAAAGTAAGTTAAACAGGCTATGTTAAAAGGGACTTCCAGAAGCATTTAAATTGTCTGCTTCTGCTACATATTGGAGCATTCAATGCATGATGATTTGCAGACTATGTAAACTAAAAGTTAAAGGGAAATTAGTTAATTAATTGTGTGTCATCAAGTCGATTCAGAGCGCATTTCTTAGGTATCAGGTACTTCAAAATGGTTTACCAGCCCTTCTTCTGGAAGTGTTTTGGAACTGTGCAGCTTGCCCTAGGCTATACAGGCTGGTTTTTCCTCCTGGGAGGCACAGTGGTGAATCATGCTCCCCACTGGTACTCTGACTCAATGAGCTATCCAGTTAGCTTAAAGGGAGATACTGAAGTGCGGATGCTTAATAAGAAATTTCTACAAAGGCAGTGTGACATAATATGCAAATCAAGTAAGCCAGTCTGTCCTTTTCAGGAGTTCACTTAAAACCGAGCCAATTACATTTGGAGTTTAATAAACACTAAAAAAAAGTGGCTGCAACATAAGCCAACATAAATTACAGACTGATTGGAGATAACAGATAGGTAGATGAATAGGCCACCTGTGTCAACAAAGAACTGACACTCTTAGCAGTGGGACAGCAGGCTTGGTGGAGAAGCTGCTTGCAGCCTGTGGGGCTGGAGCAGGGGTGGGGAAAGTGTAGTCTTCAGGCTGTGTGTAGCCCTTGAAGGCTGCTTTTGTGGCCCCCAGCACTTCCCCCAGACTCCTGTTTTTCTGGTGAAAAAAGTGAATTTCATCTTCTGGAAACCTTCAGGAATGGTGATTCACATTTTGAATAGGTCTCAGTGTTACCTCCCCCCCCCTTTAATACTTAACAATACCCACACTGTCCCTTCAGTGGAACCATAAGAGAAAGGAAGGATACTGGGAGAGATTACTAACAGCTTCACAAGTTCAGAAGTGGAACATATTACTGTAGTTACTTTCCCTTGAAAGCAGCCCCTTACATTTGCTACTATGTTGCTAACATTGCTAACATTGTATCTTTTAAAGTATCCTATTTGCTAAATTTGCTAGACATGTAGCCATTTTAAAAAATAGGTTTGTTTGTATTGTCTGTTACTTTTATGTTTCACTTTTAACTTGGTCTGATGCCAAGAGCATGGAAGGCGGTCCCTGGGCTTTGCCCTCCATATCTGGAGACTTGAGGAAGGCCACCTCTGGAACTGAGTATTATTTTCAGCACCACCCGATGAAAATCTCTCAGTTTTTGGCTGAATTTTCAAGGAGCCCAACAAAGTGCTGGGCCTATTTGTGCATGCTCTTGGAACACTCTGGTAAAGGTCACGCCAAAACCGGGAGTGGCTTCCCCATCCCTGCTGACCTCCAAGCCACTATGGAACCCTGAGCTTCCGCCCCCCTCCGGCTGGCCCCCTTGTTCCGGGCTGCCCCAGATGGGGCTCCCTAGCTGCTTTCTCTTCCAAGGGGCCGTTTTCGGGCAAGCACCCGTGAAGAACCCTTTCCCTGGCCGGATCGTTCCCCCGTTCCTCCCCAGGCCCGGCGCTCCGGTTGCAAAGGAGAAGTGGCTCACGGATTGCAACGCTGCTCAGCCCGGAAAGCCCGCTAGCCGAGTGCGAAGGAACTTCAGACGGCAGACAGGGCTGGCAAAGGAAAACGGGGCCCGAGTAGGGACGGAGGGAAGGTCGAAGGGAGTCGCGCGCCGCCGCTGTCGGGCGCGGGGGCCCGGCGGGGGACCCCTCCCCATGCCGGCCCCCGGAGGTCGTCGGGCGCTACTCCTTCTGCCCCCGTGGCCCCGAGCTCGGCTAGGCACTCGTCCAACGCCTGCAGGGTGCCGGGGTTCCTGCACGCTTTCTCGGGGGCTCTCCACGCCCGCTCTCCGGCTGGCTTGCCGCCGCCCGTGGTTCTCAAGCGCCCGTCACTTTTGCTAAGTAATAATTTCCATGTCCAATTCCATTTCTTTTCTAGTTCTGAAATCTCGAAGCCATCAGCAAGGAGGATAGTTCACATGAAAACTAATTACACAAAATCAATATTTAATCACAGCCCGGCATCCTGATCCTGCAGAAAAATCCTTTAAAAACTCTCCNGCTTCGCTTCCGCCGCCGTTCACGCCTCTGCTCGTTTGCAAGTCGGCGCGGCGGGACGCGGGCGGGAAGGCGGATGATGGCCGGGTACCTTTCAACCCCACGGAGGTCACCGGGCGAGGCGCGTTTTCACTCCGATTATTGGGATAAATATTTCATAAAGAGCCGCGCCGATATTAAATGACACCTATTGATTCGGGGATCCCAGGCTTCCGCCGCCGTTCACGCCTCTGCTCGTTTGCAAGTCGGCGCGGCGGGACGCGGGCGGGAAGGCGGATGATGGCCGGGTACCTTTCAACCCCACGGAGGTCACCGGGCGAGGCGCGTTTTCACTCCGATTATTGGGATAAATATTTCATAAAGAGCCGCGCCGATATTAAATGACACCTATTGATTCGGGGATCCCAGCCCGATTCATCTCGCCACCGCACTAATTGCTGGCTTAAGGAGGCTCAGCCCGGGCAGGCCGTGCCGTTCCTGTCCTCCGACCTGGGCGCAGCGGGTGGCGGTCCCAACCGAGCAGCGGGGCTGCGTGTCCCCCCTGAGACGAAGCGAGGCTGGGGAGGGCGCCCCTCCGGGTTCCATAGCTGCTGGGAGCAACCGAGGAGGGGCTCGCCAACGCCCGCCGCACGGCCTCGGGGAGCTCGGTCCGCGGCGAAGGCGAGACGCGGCCCGCCCAGATCGGAGAGCAAGCTGGGCTGCCCGGCCCGACCTTCTCCGCCCGGGCCCCCGAGCCGAATTGCTGGCCGGCCGGCTAAGCTGGCAGGCAAGGCAGGGCTACCTTAAGCGGGAGCCCCGCCCCGCCGGGCCGCTCATTGGCGCAGCCCTAATGGCTGGAATTGATTGCTGAAATGCAAAACTTGTTGCTGTTTCTTCGGCGCGGGGTGAAAGCGAGCGAGCGAGCGAGCGCAAAAGAGGCAGCCGCCTTGGCAGCGTCGCTGCCTCTGATCCAGAGCCGTCTGTCTGCTCAGTCCTCCGGGGCCAGCCTCCGCCGTCCTTTGCAAACCGGGCCGGGCCATGCGATGAGGTGGAGCCAGCATCCCCGGGAGCAAAGCCGATGACCTGCGGGTCGCCGGGAGAGCCCCGGGCAGGTGTCAGCAGCAGCAGCAGCAGCCGCGGCCGCCTACCCCAACTTTCCCGCAAGATGTGAGCCGGGCGCGCCGTGGGCCTTCCTTTGCCTCCTTCCTGCTTCCTCCCTCCCGCCGCCGCCGCAGCGTCAGCAGCGCGCTGGCCGGCATGTCCCGTTGACAGATCCAGCGTACGGACCTTCCGGGAGCGTCGGGATGTTCGCGCTGGAGCAGTTCGAGCCGCAGGGAGGAGGCGGTAGGAGCGGCGCGCCTGGCGAGCGTGGCGGCAGCGGCGGCGGCTTCGGGCAAGGCATGGGATCGCACTTCAAGCCGTCGCCCTTCCACGCGGGGACGTCGGGCAGCGAACCGGCAGCCCTGGGCGCCCTGGGCGAGCCTTCTTCGGCCATGCTGGCCATGAACCTGAACTTGCCAGGGGAGGCATACGGTTTCCACGCCTCCCGCGGGGGCCACTCGGCGGAATTGCAGCAGGCCCAGCCCGTCCACGGCTTTTACGGCAACCAGCAGCCCTCTTCCCACGGCTCCCACCAGCCGCCGCCGTCGCATTTCGGAGGCGGTTTCGGGCCCGAACCCAGCGCTTCCTGCCTGCACGGCGGGCGCCTGCTCAGCTACTCCGGCGGCCAGCAGACCTTCGCGGCGGACGGCTACGAGCAGCACCTGGCCGATGGCCAGGCCGGCGGGGACGGCTTCGGGCCACAGAGGGCGGGACCCCTCCAGGACTTCCAGCCGCCGCAGGCACAGCACCACAACCCGGGGGTGCCGGCCCCCTGCCTCCCCCTCGACCAGTCCCCGAACCGCGCCGCCTCTTTCCACGGCCTGCCGGGGGCCACCTCTTCGGAGCCGCACGGCCTGGACTCGCAGCAGCAGCGGCGGCTCTCCGGCCAAGGGGGCGCGGGCGCGGTGGACCCTCTGGAGTACAGTTACCCGAGCAGCGAGGCCCACTTCGACTTGCCCGTTTTCTCGCCGTCCGAGGCGGACGGACAGCTGCCTCACTATGGAGCTGGCCGGCAGCCAGTGGCGCCGCCGGGCGGGGGCAACTTCCCCGGGCCCTCATCGGCCTTGCCGCGGGCGCCAGGCGGCATGGGAGCCCTGGGCAAGGTGCACCCCCAGCAGCAGCAGCAGCAACAACAACACGGCGTGTTTTTCGAGAGGTACGGCGGCGCTCGGAAGATGCCGGTCAATCTGGAGACGGGCTTGAGCGCCGGGAGGCTCCCTTTAATACAGCAGCAACAGCAGCCCCCTCCGCCGGCTCTCCTGGCCAGACAGAACTCCTGCCCGCCGGCCCTTCCGAGGCAGCCGCCGTGCCCGGAAGGGAGCGCCGCTAACCCGGGCCTGCAGGAGGGCGGCGGCGGCGGCGGGGCCCCCCTCTTGCAAGGCCCGCAGCATGCCCAGTTCGAATACCCCATCCACCGGTTGGAGAACCGCAGCCTGCAGCAGCAGCCGCACCCGTACGGGGGGCCAGGCGAGCCGGTCTTTGGCGTACACCATCACCCGCAGGCCCAGCAGCCCCCCAACCAGCGCCTGCAGCACTTCGACGCTCCTCCCTACATGAACCTCGCCAAGCGGCCTCGCTTCGACTCGTGGAGCGGCGCCGCCCTGGATAGCCACCTTTCGCCCTCGGCCGCCTACCCTGGCCTGCCTGGAGACTTCTCGCCGCCGGGGCCGGAGAGCTTCCCGCCGCCGCCGCCGCCGGGGCCTCCACTTCAGCCGCCGTCGGGCGCTGACCACCAGGCGGCCCTGCAGCAGCAGCAACAGCAGCGCCAGAACGCGGCCTTGATGATCAAGCAGATGGCCGCCTCGCGCAACCAGCAGCAGCACCAGCACCACCAGCACCACCACCACCAGCAGCAGCGCCTCCGCCAGCCCAGCCTGCAACAACTCGGCCACCAGCACCAGGGCCATCACGGCCACCCGCACCACCACCACCACGGCGAACCCCCCTTCGAGGCTCAGGAGGGCGCCTGGTTCCCGGCAGCAGCGGGCGCGGGGGACTTGCTCTTCCGCGGGCCGGGGGTGGGCGGCATGCCCGGCTTGCAGGAGCCCCCGCCGCTCAGGATGTCAGCGGGCGGCGAGGGACACGTTCCCTCCCCGGGTAGCTTGCCTGGCCAGTTCGGCCTGAGCCCGCCCTCAGAGCGGAGGCCGGGTCCCCCTGACTTCTCCTCCCAGCCGGCTTTCCCCTTCGGCCCGTCGGCCCGCCAGGCCACCCCGCACAGCGCTTCGCCCGGCTCCTACGGGGGCCCGACGGACTTTCCGGCCTCTGGCCCGTCCG